ACAAAGTTTGTATAAAGCCAAGACAAGGAAAATAACATTTTTCGTATAATTACAATTTTGAGACTACCAGGTATTCATCCTATTTTGTTTAAGCTGATAAGAATTGGTAGTAGAATTTTCCCACAGTTGTATGAGTAGATTGTTATAGCAAAAATACGTTTTCTTCATCGACAATCCCACCAAAGAATATGATATGGCAAAAGACCTGGCCTTCCTTGAAATTCACATCTGCCCCAAGGCAATTTGACCGAGTGGTTAACGTGTCAAGCTCACATGCTGCATTGTCACGGTTCGGCTCCCGCTGGAGGTGTTGATAAGACTATGTGATGTCGAAACTACAGTCCACCCTGGATGAGAACAACTTTTGGGAAAGCAAGACTATGCGAAATTCAATGGAAAAATCAGCTCTACTCATACAAGTGTGGGAAAATTCTACTACCAATCTTTCATTACCTTAAACGAAATAGGGGGAATGTATCTCATATAAGGAAAATGATTGCCTGACGGAAAAGAAAATTATTATAATTTGTTAACAAATGTCTTATTTACTCAAATCTTATCCGATTTCAATTAATCTTCTTCCGATAGTCCTTTTATTACATTTCAGCAACTATTTTTTGCTTCAACCGAAATATATCGATATAGTTTACTCTATATAAATCATATTTAGCAAGGTGGAGTCCATGAAACTCTGGTACTGCCGATGGCGTAACTTTCATTCTCTAGAATCAAAATTCCAGTGGGCTCTCCATTTTACTCTCACAGCTCACGCGGCCGGTTTATACAACCCCAAATCAAAGTGACGGTAGAATCGCGGAAAAAGATCTATCCTCCACATAACGAGGACTAAGTTGGGTAGTAAGACCGCCTTACACAATCCAATAGTTCGCTTGAAAAAAGTATTTGAGCAAAGTAGGGTTCGAGAAGTAGCAATTCTATATTATTTGCCTACATGAGCTCCGACCAACAGAAAATCGTTTTGTTGATAAACCATTCTGGAATGCCTATCATCAGACTTAAATTCTCTCCTGTTCACTATAACGTCCAATTGCATGTTGTAGTAAAATATGCTCCGTATAATGTGCATAATGACGAATATTTTGCGCCGATGATCTCATGTTTGGAGTCTTTCATATATTAAATTTTACATAACCCGAATACGAATCGACTGCTAAGTTTAATGTCCTATTTTATCCTTTTGAAGATGTGCCTTCCGCACCGAGTCAGGTCACTGTCGAGCGGGCCGGACCACGCGAAGTTACTGTCCGCTGGCGTGCACCAAAAGATGACGGTGGAGATGAAATCATCGGGTATATTGTAGAAATGCGTGAGTGCCCGGATTCCACCATCCAAGGAGAGCCCGTCTCTAGGTGGATACGTGTCGGACCCAGTCTAGTGCGCCAAAGCACAAGCCTTCGTCTAACAGACTTGAGGCCTGACATGGACCTTCAGTTCCGAGTATTGGCGAAAAACCCTGTGGGGTCTAGTGAGCCTTCCGAACTAACTGAGTGGTCGAAACGGATCATTAAAGGTGAGTGCAATATAGAAAATAGAGTACGTCTCTTGGTAATTGTATTATGAATCTTTTTTATTAGAGCGATAAGTAACTCAGAATATATATATATATGCGTTAAAGGCCTGATAATTGAACGAGAGCAAAATTTTGCAGGACTCCAAATTTGTTACTTTTTAGCTAGCCAAATTTGGTATTTTCTCAAAGGTATGAAGACCAAGATGGGGAGGCCTTTTGTATGGTTGCAGTCCTCTTTCGT